CTGCAGCTGCACAGCTGCCGGCGCGCCAGCAGCCGTACTCGCGGCGCAGCGCGCGGCGTGCGCAACCTGCTGCGCCTCGTTGCTGCTGAGCGCGCCGCAGCCTGCGCACACGAAGGAGCCCCAGCGTGAGACGGTGTACGCGGCGGGCGCGGCGCGGAAGCCGCGCTGCGCAAGCAGCGCGAACAGCGCCTCGAACGCGCCGGTGCTGCCGCTGCCGACGAACAACACGCCGAAGGCGTCGGGGCAGCGCAGGTAGTTGAGCACCGCATCGCGGACTTCGCGCTCGAACGCAGCCATCTGCGCTGAGAGGAAGCCAGAAGCCGAGTGCGTGTTCGCGTAGAACGGCAACAGCCGCGTGGCGAGCGCGCGCTCGACGAAGCGGCTCGGCCGCGCGGTCGCTGCGTAGTCCGCGTAAACCGCGGCGCACGCGCCGAAGGGCGTGCGCACGGTGACGGGCTCGCCGAGCGCGTCGCCGCGATAGAACGCAGCGTCTAGTTGCGCGGGCAGCGCGCCATCGGTCCGCGAAGCATCGGTCAGCGCGACCTCGGACAGTGCGGCCTCGGGCAGTGCGGCCTCGGACAGTGCGGCCTCGGGCAGTGCGGCCTCGGGCAGTGCGGCCTCGGGCAGTGCGGCCTCGGACAGTGCGGCCTCGGACAGTGCGGCCTCGGGCAGTGCGACATCGCCCCGCGCGGCCGCAGCGCACGCTGCGTCTCGCGGCGGCGGTTGCACGGCCTTTCGCAACGCAGTTCCGGAGCTCACGTTAAACTGCAATTCGCCAAATTAATTTAAAAGAATTCGGCCATGGGCTTGAACATCAAAAGCATCATCGCGACGACCAAAAAGGTGCGCGTACGCGCCGCACCGCCGCTTGAAGAGAGCGCCGCGGCCACGAACGCCGCGTGGGGCTCCGACGAGACCTTGCCGGCAGTGGTGCCGATTCCGAGCGCGCACGCCTCGGACGACGAAGACGCGGAACTCACGCTCAAGAAGCTGAAGGAAGTGCGCGAGTACGACTGGAGCAAGGCGCGCGCCGAGGCGAAGGCTGCCGAAACGAAGGCCGCCGGCGCGAAGCCCGCCGGCGCGAAAACGCTGCTCGGCGACGCGGCCGGCGACGCGGAGCCGCGCTTCGGGCAGTTCTTCAGCGGCATCTCCGGGCTGAACCGCCGCTCGATCAACAAACACGAGTTCGGCGCGCTCGGCGACGTCGCCGGCGCCACACTCGAAGAGCCCGCCGCGAAAAAACCGGAGAAGTCCGCGGCGAAGCCGAAGTCCGCGGAGCGCGTCGACCGCTGCGCCGCCGCGCTGAACGTGCCGGAGTGCGGCGCGCCGCTCGCGGAACTCAAGAGCGAAGACGTCTGGCGCGCCGTCGGCTTCGTGCCGCTGCAGCGCAGTTAGCCGGCCGGCGCCGCGCCGCGGCGCAACACGCGGCGGCACCGTCAGCGCCAGAGCGCTCGCAGCCCCGACCGAGCTGCCGCGCCGCCGCCGGCATGCAAGCAAATTTTTTTTGAATTTGTTTATGCTCAGAGCAGCGCCTCACTAAGATGAAACTTGCGCTCCTTTCCGTCCTACTCGGCGTGTCGCTGCTCGTCAGCGCCTCGGCAATCGAAACATCGCTAAACCGGATGGGTTTCATGCATGTGAATAAGAACACGCTGCAGCCGTCCAACAAAAACTTCAGCAACTTTTCGAACGACCAGTCGCCGAAGCCGATCGACCTCAACAAACAGGCGAGCACGATCAACCTCAACATACCGCCGATCACGCTTCTTCAGCCGGCGCCTGCTCCGCCCACCGCGGGCGACGAGGTAGCAGTAAACCCGGGAGCTGCGCAGGTCGCGGAACAGGTAGCCGCCGCTGCCAAGACAGCCGCGCGCCTCGGCGCCACGAGCAACGCCCAATATGAAACCGTCGCACAGAAACTCGAAAAGGAATTCAACAAATTAAAGAAGCCGAGCGTGCTGCTCGACTTAGACGGCGAGCAAGACACGCCGTACGCCTCGCGTCTCAGCGCCGCGTCTAATCTGCTGCGCGATCACAACAAGGCGAACCGCATCCGCTCGCTCACCTCGCCCAAGCGAGCAGCGCCGCAGCCCGAAGACGACGCCTCCCTGGCCGCGCGCGCCACGTACACCAACAGCCCGATCGACATGAAAAAACCGCTGCTCGCGGTCGACGCCGTGAAACTGCTCGTGCACAACCGAGTCGGCTACCAGGACATGCACCGGATGAGCTCCCAACAGTTTTACTTCGAACTCTCGAAGTACACCGACCGCGTCTCAAACGTGTGCAAGCTCGACAGCGTCTACACGATCTTGACGCTGTTCAACCGTGAACTCGAGCGCGCCACGCAAAACCACATTGTCGAGCTCAAGCAAAAGTTTGCGCACCACCAGCCAGTCGTACACGAGTCACCCGTGATCTAACCCAAGTCGCTGCCGTGTCGCTCGGCGAGCTCCGTGAAAAACCACTGCTTGCCGTGGTACACGAAGCAATTGTCCGGCGTGCGCCTGCTCGCCGCGGCGCGCCACTTACTGGAGCACGAAAAAGTCCTGCAGCGAAGAGACGAACTCTTCGACCATCTGGTTCGTCAGCGAAAAGTTCTTGCGCCCCTTGTCGCGCATGTAAATAAACTGCTCCGCCAACTGGAACACGCCTGCTGTGTTGACGCACTCGGCGCCGAAGCGCGCGACGACACCTACCCTCTTCGAGTCGCTCATAGGAACTGTACTGCTTCCAGTACTTCGCGTCGTCCTCCTCGGTGTACTGGCATAGCAGAATGTAGTGCATCGCGGATTTTCAATTTAATAACGAATAATCGCGCCGGCCGAGTTTTCGCCACCGCCATGGACGCTGCGCCCCGCGACGCCGCAGCAAAGCTCGACGCTACGCAGCCGCGTGCCGGCGGCCCCGCTGTGCAGCGGGTGCTTGACTACGAACTACGCACCTGGCGCGGCGCTCGCTCCGGCGCCCCTCGCGAGCTGTACCGCCTGCGCGGCGCCGTGTACTTCCCGAGCTCCGAGTTCGCGGTCCGCCAAGCGTTCGCGCTAGACTAAACCGAGTCCAGCTTGCGCTTTTTCAGCGCCAGGTAGTGGTCCAGCTGATTGTACAAGTTCACCAACTTCTTGTTCGTAACCTCACACACCTTTTCGTAAACGCGCTCCGAGAGAAAACTGAGCCGCGGGCAACGCGCGCCCCCCGTCAAGCTGTCGCGCTTGATGCGTTCTGCAAAGAAGTTCGGCGAGTAACTCTGCGGCGACGGCGCCTCGCCGGCGTCCGTCGCCACGCTCGACCGGAACGAGCTCTTGCCGAGGCTTCTCACTGAGTCAAAGGGCCAGTCCGCCGAAGTCTCGGTAGTCGCGCAGTGGTCAATGATCTTCGTCTCCGCCGCGTACAACGCGGCGCGCTCTTTGCGAGAGCCAAAGAAAGGCGTGTCGCAGATTGGCAACTCGCTCGCGATAACGGACAAACGCCGCGGCGCCCCCGCCACTTCGCTCAGGTTTACGAGCGGTTCCGCGCGTTCGCAGCTATTCGTGTCTTTCTTAGGCCTACTGCTCGCGTCCGCTGCGCTTCGCCCGCTCTCTTCTTGCAATGACGCTGCAACAGACGCTGAACCAGACGCTGATCCAGACTCTGAATCAGACACTGAACCAGACACTGAACTTTCCAGTGGCTCACCCTCCGGCAGTTGGAAGCTGTTTCTCTCCGCCAACACACTTTCCACCAAAAACGCAGCCGGCGTCGACTCTGCGTCAGCCGCAAAATGCGTAGCGTCGTCCAGGTCCGTGTCCTTCTTCAACTCGCTCAGATCGAACTTCACTGCTTTCGTGTTGATCTGCAGAGTCTTGCGAGACACTGAGGGTTTTCGATTCGGAACGCACTCGGGAGAGTTCGTAAAGTTTGCGTTGCTCGGCTCCGTCGTTGAGCTAACGCGTGGCGTCATAACGCTGAGCAGCCCATTAGAGCCCGCTTCCTCTAGCGCGCCTAATTGCAAGTTCAGCAGAGCCTGATCTACTATGCGCTGAACCTCTGCCGAAGGCTGCGCAATTGACAGCATACAAACCGTGCTGCTTAACTCGCTCTTCGGAAGAACGCACCGCGACGTCACAAACTCTTCTACCACCGTGAACAGCAAACTGGAGCTCTCCGCATCGCTTTTCGTCTTTACAGATGCATACGAAAACGGCAATTCCACAAAGATGCGCGCACTTTCCTTGTCTTCACAGTCTTTATCGAAGTCGAGAACGATTAACGACGAGTCATTGGCAACTAACGCGTGGTTACACACTGTTGACTCGCTGTCGTCATTGCCGTGCCAACTGACGCTGACTCGCTCATTCAGCACCAAGTCGGAGTCGCTCGCATCTGCTAGGGTTTCGAACAGAATCTTCGTAAGATCGTAGAAATGGTCCTTCTTTACGTCGTTCTTCAGCAGCTGACGTAGCTTCCGGACAAATTGCACATTGTCTCGCGTCGAATTCTGAATCAGCAAGTTGCGTAACTCGACAGAATACGACTTGTCGCCTCCGGCTACTTTGCAATAATTCAGTGCGATAAGAACTTCGCAAGCGTTTAGGTAGAGCAGATAAT